CCTTCCGCCTCAGCCTTCCAAGTAGCTGGAACTACAGGCGTGCACTACCACGTCCGGCTAATTTTTTTTTATTTATTGTAGAGATGAGGTCACGCCAAGTTGCTTGGGCGTGTCTCGAACCCGCGGGCTCAGGCAATCCACTCACCTCAGCCTCCCAAGGCGCAGGATTACAGGCTGAACCACCGAGCCCGGCTCTCAGTGTATTTTTATATATAACTTCCTTTCTCATAGCTCAACTAATAGACCTTTTTGGGATTTTTTTGCCAGACTTTTTATTCCATTGCCATGCGCCAGTGTCATTGTTATGCTAGTTTAATTATTGTGAATGTACAATGTTATCATCCTGCATGTTCCTTGTATGTTTTTTGCATTGTTCCCTCAAGGCTTAAGGGATACTATTGCAGGGCATGGCATGGAAGGAATGCAAGTCTCCTGAGGCTCTACAGAAGTCCATGGTGTCATCAGGCAAGGTTAGGGCACACCCAGGATCAGAACCCTGGGATCTACCTAATTCCTCCATCTTTCCATTGCCCCAGGGTAGGAGAGTGGGAGTAACTGAGAGGCTTGGAGTATCAGAGGAGAGGAGGGAATAGGCTGGGTAAATTTTTCTGTGACTGTCCACAAGGAACAGGTTTCTTTTTTTTCTTTTCTTTCTTTTTTTTTTTTTGAGTTGGAGTCTCACTCTGTCACCCAGACTGGAGTGCAGAGGAGGCTCCCGGCCACCGCAGCCTCGACCTGCTGGGCTCCAGCGATCCTTCTGCCTAAATCTTCCAAGTGGGTGGAACTATAGGCACGCACGCCCGGCTAAGGAACAGGTTTCCAAGTCCTGTTGATTCTACTCTCCTAGTTTCTTTTGAATGGCCCCTTTCCCACCATCAGCACCCTCAGACGTTCCTCTTCACTGGACTACCGCAACAGCCCTGGAAGCCTTCCTTACCCAGACCAGGTCTGGACCCCCTTGTTTATAAAGTCCCGTCCCCCAGCACTGGTGGAATTTGTCTTCAGGGTTCTCACCGCCTTTTGCAATTATAATAATTCTCTCTTCCATTTCCCTCCCCATTGTGTAAAT